AGCTGTGTAAGTTCTCTTCATTTGGAGCAATTATGAGGTACACTCCCTCTTTTGTTAAAGGATTTAATACGGATAAGAGTGCATCAAGTCAATAAAATTTTGCGAAAGTCTACCTAAGGTAAATTTACTTCCCGTAGCCCTCCCAAAATTAAATTTTGATTTTCCTCTACTCCTCGGAGAATAGCCCAGTAGTTCCTAGTAGTTTGGCCCAGGTCAGTCACCAGTACATCTATAACCCTAATAGCTTCATCCATTCTGTGCAGTGCCGTCGTCATTTCGTTCTCCCGAATAATAACAGGCTAATGGTAACTCCAGCCATTTCAATAGCCTCTCTTGCAAATTTATCAAATTCCATGATTTGGGTGTGCAACATATCTGTACGGTGATTAATTATCTTTGATTATCAATCCTGCAATATTTAGTTCCTCCCAGAGAGAACTCTTCTAGCCATGGACATCCCTACAATCTGACTTAATACTCATCAGTTTCAGAATAACCTCGTTATTTTGTACATATAGCCCTCTCATTAGTTTATAATAACTGTATGAATATTTTACAATATAACCCCTGGTTATTATCTTATCTGTTCTTCTTGCATCCTTCTACTTCTTAATAATATGCACAATATTTTCCTTTTTTTTCTCAAATCCACATTTTTCTCTGGATCTTCCAAAGTTCCCAAACTACTGTCATCCTCAAATTCTTCTTCGATTTTTTCTTCAGTTGGATATCCCTTATCTATATTATGGGCCTGGCCCCTTACTAATGGCAGTTCTAATTTCAATGTATCTACGTGTTCTTTGCGTTCTTAAATAGTTCATTTACGAACTCCCCTCCCCCATCAGAAATGATTTGACGTGGAGTCCCCTCTTTGTAAATGAATCCATCCATAAATGCCTCTGCGACTTCTAGTAAATCCTTTGACTTTAACGGAACTGCAACAAGGTATTTTGTTAAAGCATCTATTACTGTAAGAATATAACGAAACCCTTCAGATTCCGGATACGGACCCACTATATCCATATGGACACGCTCAAAAGGCCTTGTAACTTCAGGGTACCTTAAGAGAGGAACCGGGATATGTTTGCCTGGCTTACAGCGCAAACATACGTCGCAGGATGAACAATATTCCTTTACTAACTTCAAATAATTCCAATCTCTTTAAGGTTACCAAAACACCCCCATGCCCTGCAACAGGAATCGAATGAGCTAACCTTAAAGCTGTACTCTGATACAATCTTGGTACGACCACTCGAAAGACCTTCCTAAAAGGCTTATCTAGAACGTTATACAAGATCCCATCTGGTCGTACCTGATAATTCTTGATCTTCCCAGAAATTCCTTTAAACTCATCTTTAGTGAGGTCACATTCACCTCGTAAATATTCTTTAACACGACCCCATAGTGGGTCTTCATCTTGTGCATTTCGTAAACTATCTAGTCCCCATAAGTCAATGGTCTCTGGTGAACTACTGTCACTGCTATCTACCATTTCTGACTTCGGACCATCAAACCGATTTATCCTTTTATATGATGTAGCAGCTCGGCGAGTAACAACACCTACAACTAAATCATCTATCGGCTGATCAGCTGCTCTGATTCGCGACAGCGCATCTGCTAAATAATTGTCTTTGCCCGGCAAGTATTCTACACAAATATCAAACTCTGCTTCCGACATACGCCACCTGGCTAGTCTTTCATTTCCATCTCTACTAGAAAAAAGATAACGAAGAGGCCTATGGTCTGAATGAACAATTACTGGAAAACCTTGAATCAGTGTCCTGTTTATCTTTAGTCCATATACTATCGCCAATGCCTCTCGTTCTACAGTAGAATAATTTAACTCGGCACCCTTTAACTGTCGACTGAAGTAAGACAGTGGTCGAAGGGTTCCATTATTATCCTCCTGTTGGAGAGCTCCCCCAATGGCTGTTTTACTTGCATCTGTAACTAATGCAAATGGACGGGAAAAGTCTGGGAATTTTAACATTATCCTCAGACAAAACTGTACGCAACTTGTGAAATGCATCCAATGCTTCTTGTGTCTACGTTAGTTTCGTTTTCCCATCCTTAGTCTTACAGCCTCTGGTTAAGTCAATTAACGGTCGCGATATATCTGCAAAATTACTTATAAATTTGCGATAGTAGTTTGTCGCACCGAGAAACGCCTGGAGCTCTTTCAAAATTATTGGTTGAGGGTATCCCTCCATTGCATCAACCTTCTTCTTTTGTGGCTTAATACCATTTTCACTAATCACATGTCCAAGGTATTCAACTTCGGACTTAAAAAACGAACATTTAGTAAGTTTGAGAGAGAGATTATTCTGCTGAAGACGACCTAAGATTCGTCTCACATTATTACAGTGAGTCTCCCACGTGTCTCCCAAAACTACAATGTCGTCTAGATAGACAAAACCCACATCCCCAATCAGACCAGACAGGACCTGATTAATGATCCTCTGGAAAGCAGAAGGGGCGTCCTTCAACCCAAAAGGCAACCTCATAAATTCGTAGTGGCCTCCATTGTGGAAAAAGCCGTTTTCTCTCGACTAGCGGGGGTCAGGGGTATCTGGTGATAACCCTGCCTGAGGTCCAAACACGAGAAGAAACGACTCTTGCCTAGCCTTTGCAGTATAGAATCTATGTTTGGCAGTGGGTATCGGTCATCCTCAATACATTCATTAAGTGCTCTGAAATGAAGACATAATCGCAACCCCCCATCTCTCTTTCGCACTGGTACCAATGGTGCATTGTAAGGAGAACGTGAGGGTTGTATAATCCCGTCCCTCAACATAGAGTCAATCTGAGCCTTAATCTCGTCTCTGTATTTCAACAGGATGGGATAGGGTTTCTTGTAAACTGGAGGACCCAGAGCCTTTATTTCGTGAAAGTATTCATTCGAAATCGGTAAAGGATCCTCTTCAAGACTAAAAACCCTTGGGAATTCCAAAACCAAGTCTATCAGCACCCTGTGCTCTTCTGAACCTCGTTCAAATATCTTGTCTACTTCTTCTAATAATCTACAAGTTTTATTCCTGTTACTCTTAACACTGGCTACTACCTGCCTTCTGGCTTCACCAGGAGATATGTCTACTAGTTTCATGAGTGCTCCCACACTCGTATTCTGCCCAACTTCTACAACTCTCTTCCCGTCGTTTTTAAATGGTATCCTAAACCACCTCGTGGCACCATCTGATGACGGAATAGGAGTGACTATGCCTTCTATTAAGCTTATCTCTAAATCCTTTCGAGGAATAAATAACATATTTGACCCCTTCATACTAATGTCCCTGACTAAAACACAAAAAGATCCACACGAATCTGCATCTACAATTAGATCCTCTACTGGAAAAACATGAGCATCAGTAGCCCCGCCACTATCTCTTGTCATCTCATCAATAGCCCCGCCATTATTTAATGTAATCTTCTCATTCATAACCCCGTTATTGTCTATAGCAACCTCATTTATAGCCCCGCTATTACCTAAAGTAATTCTCTCATTAATAACCTCGTTATTGTTTATAGCAACCTCATTTATAGCCCCGCTATTACCTAAAGTAATTCTCTCATTAATAACCTCGTTATTGTCGATAGCAACCTCATTTATAGCCCCGCTATTACCTAAAGTAATTATCTCATTAATAACCTCGTTATTTTTTATAGCAACATCATTTATAGCCCCGCTATTACCTAAAGTTATTCTCTCATTAATAACCTCGTTATTGTTTATAGCAACTTCCTTTATAGCCCCGCTATTACCTAAAGTAATTCTCTCATTAATAACCTCGTTATTGTTTATAGCAACATCATTTATAGCCCCGCTATAAAGTAATTCTCTCATTAATAACCTCGTTATTGTTTATAGCAACTTCCTTTATAGCCCCGCTATAAAGTAATTCTCTCATTAATAACCTCGTTATTGTTTATAGCAACATCATTTATAGCCCCGCTATAAAGTAATTCTCTCATTAATAACCTCGTTATTGTTTATAGCAACATCATTTATAGCCCCGCTATAAAGTAATTCTCTCATTAATAACCTCGTTATTGTTTATAGCAACATCATTTATAGCCCCGCTATAAAGTAATTCTCTCATTAATAACCTCGTTATTGTTTATAGCAACATCATTTATAGCCCCGCTATAAAGTAATTCTCTCATTAATAACCTCGTTATTGTTTATAGCAACTTCCTTTATAGCCCCGCTATAAAGTAATTCTCTCATTAATAACCTCGTTATTGTTTATAGCAACATCATTTATAGCCCCGCTATAAAGTAATTCTCTCATTAATAACCTCGTTATTGTTTATAGCAACATCATTTATAGCCCCGCTATAAAGTAATTCTCTCATTAATAACCTCGTTATTGTTTATAGCAACATCATTTATAGCCCCGCTATTACCTAAAGTAATTCTCTCATTAATAACCTCGTTATTGTCGATAGCAACATCATTTATAGCCCCGCTATAAAGTAATTCTCTCATTAATAACCTCGTTATTGTTTATAGCAACATCATTTATAGCCCTGCTATTACCTAAAGTAATTCTCTCATTAATAACCTCGTTATTGTCGATAGCAACCTCATTTATAGCCCTGCTATTACCTAAAGTAATTCTCTCATTAATAACCTCGTTATTGTCGATAGCAACATCATTTATAGCCCCGCTATTACCTAAAGTAATTCTCTCATTAATAACCTCGTTATTGTCGATAGCAACCTCATTTATAGCCCTGCTATTACCTAAAGTAATTATCTCATTAATAACCTCGTTATTGTCGATAGCAACATCATTTATAGCCCCGCTATTACCTAAAGTAATTCTCTCATTAATAACCTCGTTATTGTCGATAGCAACCTCATTTATAGCCCTGCTATTACCTAAAGTAATTCTCTCATTAATAACCTCGTTATTGTTTATAGCAACATCATTTATAGCCCCGCTATAAAGTAATTCTCTCATTAATAACCTCGTTATTGTTTATAGCAACATCATTTATAGCCCCGCTATAAAGTAATTCTCTCATTAATAACCTCGTTATTGTTTATAGCAACATCATTTATAGCCCCGCTATTACCTAAAATAATTCTCTCATTAATAACCTCGTTATTGTCGATAGCAACCTCATTTATAGCCCTGCTATTACCTAAAGTAATTCTCTCATTAATAACCTCGTTATTGTCGATAGCAACATCATTTATAGCCCCGCTATTACCTAAAGTAATTCTCTCATTAATAACCTCGTTATTGTCGATAGCAACCTCATTTATAGCCCTGCTATTACCTAAAGTAATTATCTCATTAATAACCTCGTTATTGTCGATAGCAACATCATTTATAGCCCCGCTATTACCTAAAGTAATTCTCTCATTAATAACCTCGTTATTGTCGATAGCAACCTCATTTATAGCCCTGCTATTACCTAAAGTAATTCTCTCATTAATAACCTCGTTATTGTTTATAGCAACTTCATTTATAGAGCACACATCCGTAGCATAATTTAAATCCACCTCTCCCAGGCGGGAAAACTTCACAGGGGCCCCTGTAGTTTTCCCCGTCTTGGTCCTCCAGCGTCCCTTCAGACCTACGGTTGCCATGGAAGCGACAGATCTTTTATTACTACTCTCAACCTTCACATCCTGACCATTAATGGACAAGGTAGTGGGGCATGATGTATATACAACCCTATATGTGTCCGCATATGAACACAAATGAAGTCTTTATCTTACCTACCTTAAAAGTAAGATTTATCTCCCCTCCGTGGTTTAGGAAGGACCCATCCCCCCAATGAACAGATTTCCTAACCTGCTTATAGGGCATACTTAACTCTTTTAGCACATCACTATGTACTAAAGAAACCTCTGCTCCTGTGTTGAATAGTGCTGTAATGCACTTCTCCCCAAGATAAACATCAAGTAACAACATCCCTTCACTATCCCCCAGGGATAAGATCTTAACAACATCTCTACTATCTTGACTATGAGCAGGAGCATTTTTTAGGAAGGACTGAAACCCCCCTTGTATCTCTAGTTTTATGAAGTACTTTTTGGCCTCCAAGGCTCAGGACAATTTCTCGCAAAATGGCCAACTCTCCCACAATTAAAATATTTTGTCTCTGTTTCAATCTTTTGGCGTGTCCCTGACACTCCTCTTAACTTTTGATCAAAAAGGAAAAACTTGCCCATGGTATGACCTATCTTCTGACAATATCCACATACCATAGTAGGTCTGCCACGACCCCTTCCCATATAAGTACTGGAGTTTGTTATGCGATCGGACAACAATTTTCAATTATCAGTTCCGTGACCACGTCTTTGACAGTAACCACATGTTACAGTATCATACGTTGTCACACTCCTCTTTAAATTAATGTCTGTCCTTTCATCTGTCTTATCCATTGGTATCTTTCTCACCTCGGCCTGTCTCTTTAACATTTCCGGTCTAATCATAATATACATCGCCCAGCGAAAACAAAGAAACAGATGAGAACCCTCGCTCACAAAACCGCAGACAGGCAAGGTCGGCGTGTGACAATTTCCCCCGGAAAAATTTCCGCAGCCGGCATCCAGCCTAACGCGACTCACATGTGGGGAGGCCCGTGACGTCAGGAGTGGGGGTTATGACGTTAAAATGAGACGTCACCACACGAAGGCGAACGACGGGAGAAAACAAGGGTAGTTATGTCTACGTAGTGCTGAACTATGCTGACCTAGCACCTCTCGCCTCTGCCGCCCCGCTCTCCTACCCTCTCACACCAACAACAAGCTTCACCACTTCTCACTTCACTTCACTTATATGAATGAGACAAAATGCAAGTACTTACTTGTTAAAACAACCCATTAGAGCATGTTGCAAACCCAAACGTACAAATGAATCATATATTCATAAATATACTACAGGGAAAAACTCTACTTAGTACAGGGAAACAAGTGAATCAAGTACACACAAAAAAATTAAACATACTATTGATATGCCTTAAGGAGTTTTGCTAGCTCTGTAAAGGAATATATCAAGTTAACATATATCTATCAATCAAAGCTATAAGAATATAATAAAAAATTATATATATCTCAGCTTAAATGTCAATATAGTCATATATATATACATTATGTATAATTATGGTTAATCATTACGTACTCTGTAAGAGTAGGCAACTTGAAACTATTACTAGTAAACTTATAAGTATTACTACTAATGTTAAAACACAGAAAAATATGGGATAAAGTGCACAGTAATCACTTCAAAAAAACAAAGAACTAAAAGCTGCTACGCCCGGCGCCACCTGAAACTACAAGGGAAGATTAAGCCTATCCTCCGAGGTTTTTTTTTTTTGAATTTGTACAAAACCCACCCCGTGAGTCAAAATTACACAGTAATTCCCAATTACGTATTACAATGGTAGGATATGACAGAGGGCAAGACATGGAAATCACCGCTGCCGCCACTATCGAAATCTTGATAACTGGAAATGTTATTAGATTTCTATTAAATTATATTT